AAGATACTGGCCGTGTTTGGAAGATAGCGGATTGAGGATAAATTAGCGGATTGTACTTAATTGAGAGGTTTGACCCGTCAAATCCGCTATTGAGCTTGTTTGGTAAAGCTTATTTGATAAGCTTTTTAGGCCGAAAACTCTAATTTAGAAAAAGCTCATTAGAGGAGCTTTTTGGGGATAGAGGATTCACAATCTACAATTTTATTTTAAAACTTTTTAATTTGTATTATTTATTTTACAATCTACATTGGTTTATGATACTAACAACTAATAATATGTCATCCATATGATTAATTTATCTAGAAAAATGTAAAATTCATAACTTCTTAATCAAGTGTTAGTAATTTAAAAAAATATATACATATTTATAAATTACCAACTAAAAAATATTAAATGTTTTAATATATTATTAAAAGAATACACCCTAAATAATAAAATGTCTTTATTGGTAATTTGCAATGTCAAACAGCTATAAGCTTTCAGCTATTTACCAAACACTTATTTAAAAACCGCTAATGTAATCCGCTAGTCAAATCAGCTAATATAATCCGCTATCCGCTATCCGCTAATACAATCCGCTATCCGCTATCCGCTATCCGCTGATCGCCAAACAAGGTCACTGCCTATAAATAAAAAGAAAGCTATAATTGATGAGGTGTTTCAAGGTAGTTAAAAAGTATTTTGCAGTTTCTGGAAATAAATGATACTGGAATAATAGTATTTTTTATTTTTTTATATAAAAAAAAAGATATCTATATATGTAATTGCTAGCAAAGCAATTCATAAAATCTCATTTATTTTTCTTCCAAAAGAAGTTATAAAGGTATATTTAGTTTATTAGTTTTTTTTCTTTTAATTAGAACCTTAAACAACTCACTAATTAATGAATATTTAATATCTCCCTCTCTATATACATGAATAATTGCTAACAAAAATTTTAATAAAATTATTTAGATTTTCCATTTTTTTTCATTACAATCCAATATTTTTTTTTTTAAAACAAGTAAATGAAACTTAATCAATTACATTTTTTTAATATAATAGTTAAGTAAAGTGTTATCTTGCTTTTAATTATTATGTTATATAATTGTTATTACTAAAACAAATCAACTATAATTCACACTAAATGATATATGAAAGTTGAAATAGCATAAAAAATTATATTGATTTTTTTTTTCTTGAGCTATTTGTTGCTCTTAAATATTCTTTTTATTAAGCTAAATATCTTTAGTATGGTAAACCAAACCTATTAAACTTTTAATAATAATAATATTTTTTAAGATAATTAAATGGTCATGATCTTTCTATTAATGACAAAAAATTTAAATGTGATACTATTATCTAATTTATAATTTTAGTATTATATATATGCATGTAACTTATAATAAGTTAAACATCTGTGCATATGCACAAGCACAAGATCGAATACTAATTTAAAATAAAACCACAACTGCTTTATATGCTGCCAAATAATGCATTTAGTTTTTTTATATGGTTGATAAATCATTCATACTTTATTTTTACTAAATGGTCAATTTTTTTAAATATGTTGATATCATTTTTGAATGATTTTTTTTTTCTTGGATTTGGTATATCTATGGTGAAGGGGTAACTTATTTATGAATTATGATGGTGTAATGCTTTTTTGGTTAAGTTTAAATCTCGTAGTGAAATGGTTTAATTTTCGTTTTAGTAAACATCTTTCGAATAGTTTCCATAATTTTAAAAATATGGATATAATTTATTAATTTACATCACATCATACTTTTTATGTTTAAAACTGATTAAAACCGGTGTGATGCACGGAATATATTATAAAAAATAGTTATTACAAAGTACGTCAAGTCTATTCGAGACGAATCAAGTAGTAATAATATATACTTAGATTAAAATATCTTTCCTTGTTTTCCTTTTCTTTCTATTTTAAAGTGCTTTTATCGAAGACCATAATTAAATAAATTATAATATACAACCATAGAATAATAATGTAAATAGTTAAATAAATATGCTATATCAATAGGGTAAATATAATTAACTCAACATGAAATTATTTTAACATCGTATTCAGCCTTCAAAATGGTGGTCCAACGATCTTTCGGCCCAAGAATCCAATTTTAAGGTTAGGCTTTTACCAGTCCATTACGAAAGTACAAAAAAAGAAAAAGAAAAAGAAAAAAAAAGTGAATGATTTTCTCCATAGTTTTTAAACCCGGCCCGAAAATCAGCCGGACAAGTCTCCGGGTCATTAGGTCACCGGTTCAACCACTGGGTCACCGGGTCAATTGTTGAACCGGATAATTAATTTTAAATTTTTTAAATATATATATATATAATATTTTTGACATATAAATATACATAAACTGATAAAAATAACAAAAGATAAATATTTTGTATACAAAATTTGTACATTTACGTGTTAATAATATTGAATCTCACAATAAATATTTACTATGCCATTATATAAACATAGTTTTTATTTTTTATATAAAAAAATATAAAAAAAATAAAAAATTTATAGAGACCGGGTCAACCGGGTTGACCTGACCGGGTCGACTTGGTTGGCTGGGTTTTGACTTGGTTTGACCGGGTCTATTGTTATCCGGTCTAAATAGCTCACCCAAATATGTTTCGGCTCCAGGTCATCCGGGTCTCGAATCGACCCGCCGATCCAGGTCGCAAAACAATGATATCAACTAAAGTATACTTGAAATCAATAGTTATCAACTATTATTTAGAAGACAAAAGTAGTTCATCAGCCCGACCCAACTCGGCTCGGCTCGGCTCGTTAGGTTAAATTAGCTCGACTCAAAATAAATATTTTTTATAATTTTATATAATTCAATTTGAGGTAAAAATGATTTCAATTCCAGCTTCTTTCTCGAGTCTTTTTTAATTAACCGAAAACTCTATGCTTGTTTACATACATTATTCATACCAGAATCAGACTGATTTACATAGAAACCAGACAAAAGAACATGCTTTTCTTCCACACATGGCATCATCTTCATCACTCTCCTACCCCAAAAAGCGAAACAGCTGCGCACTCGGTTTATTTATCCTTTTCATTTTCTGCCTATTTTTCTTCAGCAGAAGGATTATCGAGCTACAAATCCCCATTTACAGAGATTTAACCCCGCAACAAACCCCTCTCACCATCCCATCTCCTGTAAGATCCACTGAGAAATTCGATGATTCAGCTAACCCCGTCTTGTCCGCGTCCGATCCCGTCGATGATGTTGACGGAGATAACGGCACGTCGTCCGAGTTTCAAGAAGAAAGTAATAATGAAGGAGCAACTGCGGAAACTTCATCTGAATCTGATGAAAATGCTGAAAAACACACGGCGCCGGTTGTTTTGTCGTCAAACCCTGAACCTGAGGAGAATTCAGGTGAAGCTACAGATGAGCCCTTGTATTTAGATGACAAAAATGGTGTCCCCATTTCATCAAAATCCGATCTTGATAATGAGGCAGCTTTGTCGGATACTGAGAAATCCCAAGGTTTTGTTGATAATGTAATGGCTGAAAAGTGGCGAAATTGTGATTTTTACCAAGGGTCATGGGTGAGAGACGAGGGCTATCCGCTTTACCGAGCGGGTTCTTGCCCGTACATCGATGATGGTTTTGAATGTACGAACAATGGGAGGCCTGATTCTGAGTATTTGAAATGGAGATGGAAGCCTGATGGATGTGATCTTCCCAGGTTGTTAGTGTTGCAAATTCTTATGTTGTTTAAAGCTGATATTTTTTTCTATTTGTGGAGATTAATAAAGGTATGTCCATTGCAAATGGAGCTGGAAGAGTCATTGTCGACAATTCTTCTGGCATAATGCTAATAATGGACTAGATCAAAATGTCTCAATTAAACTCTAGTGCTTCTTCTATTAGTGAAGTCTCTAGAAAAAAAAATATACCAAACGACGCAATGCACCTTGGGTCGCTACGGAAACAGCCTCCTTGTATAATTACAAGGGTAAGGTCTGCGTACAACTGACCCCCCAGACCCAATCCGTTTGGGAATATACTGGGTATGTTGTTGTTGTTGTTGTTGTTGGAGATTAATAAAGGATTAGCTCTGTTCTGGCAGTGATATCTGTGGTTATCCTTCATTTAATAAAACTTGTTGATCTGCTCATATGGGTGCCTATATTTGTTTGCATTTAGTGCTGTGTTTAGCTTGATTAAGCAGCATTGATGAGTTGAGGAGGGAGTCAAACCAGCCCTATTTAGTATTTACCTATTATTTCATCTCTAAGCCCATTAACGTTGAAGGATGAAGCTTTTGACTTATGTAAAACCTTTAGGAACCTGTCAAAATGGAAATTTCGAATAAATGTTGCCTTATCGGGTAGATATTAAAGGTCGTAGAATTTTAGGCTGCTAGCGAGGAAAATGGTGTATGACTTTGCACAAAACTATTCATAACTTTTGAACAACTCTTTGAGACATCTAATGTGTTTAGTTATCTTTGTATCCTTTTGTTTGATGTTGCTCCAAAATTAAATTGATGCAAGGATATGGAAGCATTTTTTTTCATTGCCCCTGTACAACCTCAATATTGCGCAATTATCTATAATTAACATGCGATCTTTTTAAAATCTGTTGCTATGAGTAGTATGGAATTTGAATGGCTCCAATTTATTGGAGAATGAATTGCATGAATTAGGAACTTTATCCTGATATGACTAGATCAAGATGTGCCAACTCTAAAGTATTTTGGAGTTAAAAGTTCCCACTCGCTGTAAAAAATGCACGCTTATCTCTACGATCGCAATCGCAGTGTACTTAACCATTTAACCGAAATGGTGCTCGATTTTTGTAGGTTCAATGCAACAGACTTTTTGGTGAGATTGAAAGGAAAGAAACTTCTGTTGGTTGGGGACTCTATGAACCGTAACCAGTTTGAATCTCTCCTGTGTCTCTTGCGCGAAGGTCTTCCTGATAAGAGCAGAATGTATGAAGTCCATGGGTACAAAATAACAAAGGGAAGGGGTTACTTTGTTTTCAAATTTGAGGTAATTGAAAAAGTCGGGGAGAGTTATTTTTATTTTTTCCTTAGGAAATGCCCATCAGTTTAAGTTCAACCTTGTATTGGTTCTTAGTTCTTACATTATGATTTAAAGAAAATATATGATCACCAAGTGAAGAATTGGATTCAGCTTCAAATAAAGTTTAAGTTCAACCTTGTATTGGTTCAGATAATATAAATAGGCATTAATTACAAATACCACCCTTGAGATTTTGCTAGATATAAAAAAAAAAGGGTCAAATAAAGTTTAAATTACGCATGTCACATTAAGTTTGATTCTTTCACACAAAATCAGAAACTTGATGAACACGGGTTATTTAACTGCTCGTGCAGGATTACAACTGTACGGTGGAATTTGTTCGTTCGCATTTCCTCGTGAGGGAAGGGGTTCGTATAAATGCACAAGGAAATTCAAACCCGACTTTATCTATCGACCGGATAGACAAAACAGCTCGTCGTTGGCAGAGAGCTGATATTCTCGTGTTCAATACAGGCCACTGGTGGACTCATGGGAAGACTTCTAGGGGGTATATCGGCCTTTTTTTTTTT